CACTGTATTGGTTTGGCTGTCAATCATTCCAAATATCCTCAGGATCGTTGAACCGCTCGAATAAAAATAAATACATAAAAAGAACCAGTTGTAGTGCACAAGAGTCGATCACTTTTCCAGCATAGGCCAACAGTGCCATCGTGTGGAGATCTATGGCCATTCCCACTTCTTGTATGTAAGCACTTTATAAGTTTGATAAATCAATTCACCGTAAACCTAAGTCAATTGAGGAACTAAATCTTTTTGGGGGGTTTAATGTATGATTTTAATCAAAGTCTAGTTATGTCATCCAACTGTAACAGCGCCTGATAAGCCTAATAATTAACCGTTTACTTGCCATTTTCAAATATGTGATTTTCTCTCAACTGAAAGCTTGACAGTAGTTTCAACAAGTATTGAAGGCCCTCAGCCAATCCATGAAATCGTTTCACTCAATTAAAGGCACTTTTGTGAAAATGAGATTAAATTAATACAATTTCAATTTAACCTGACTGTCGTCAGAACAGCAATATTTATTTCCAAAGCCCAAAGCTCTTCCTGCTCAGAAAACTGAGGTCTTTTGGAGTTCAGGGGGTCACTCCTTAAGACCTTCTATGACTCTGTGGTGGCCTCAGCCCTTCATTATGGCATAGTCTGCTGGTCAGGCACCATCTCAGCCCGGGACAGAGAGAGACTAGACCGACTGGTCAGGAGGGCCAGCTCTGTCCTGGGATGCTCCCTGGACACTCTGGAGGAGGTGGGCAACAGGAGGATGCTAGCTAAGCTAACAGCTATAATGGACAGACCCTCCCACCCCCTCCAGGCCACCCTGACAGCACTGGGCAGCTCCTTCAGCCAGAGACTGAGACACCCGCGGTGGTACCGCTCCTTCCTGCTGACAGGCTATGGAATAGACGGTCCTGAAAACCGGGATTCACCCTCACGCGCCCATTTTTAATGTGCTTGTATTTATATTTTATATTTCTGTGTGTACTTTTTGTCTTGTATTTTGTCCATTTCATAATTTTGCTGCTGTAAATAGGGAATTTCTCCATTGTGAGACAAATAAAGGTTTTCTTATCTTTTCTGATATTGTCTTAACCTCAAATTTGTGGTGCGTTTAATTGTAATTTATCCAACTAAATGAATTTGTTAACACGGTATTTCCTTTGGGTTTAAAATTAGTTGATGAATTGCCATTAAAATAATTGTAACATAATTTGACACCATCCTCATATCGTTTCGTATTTTATTTATTTATTTTTTGTAAAACATTCTTCCTTGTTGCTGTTCTCTATGTTCCTCAATTCAGTTAGGTTTTAACCTTAAATTAGAATGTTTTGAAGCAACTGATTGAGCATTAAGCCACCCTCCAATTATTGTCTAATTCGTTAACAATTCTCTCGCTCACCAAGTGTATTGAAGAAGGCATACAATTATCTTAATTGATATCAATACGGCTAATTTACGGTAACTATGGAGGCTTTCGGAAATGCACTTGCGAACCTGACCAAAGCTCTCATGCTGAATTATGCTGACACCATCAAGGATGTAAATCCAGAAATTTTGGACACAAACATAGCTCAACTTCTTGGCGACGCTCAAGTTGAAACCTTAACACACAAAAAACATGGCAAAAATCCTTAGCTGCACGGTTTTAAATGTTGTGGCACAGTGGACAAAGTGCCAAGAAATCATCTTTTTTTTCTGGGCATCTATTATAAAAATGATGTAAAACAATAATTACATTATTTTACATTGGTACATGATATTACTTTACAAAAAAGGAGGCTTTGAGAATATTTTCTGTTGAAAATTACAATTCAATATCGATTGTAAATTTCAAATTATGACTTGTACTCGACCGATATTTACCAACTATTCAATATAGTGCCTGGAATTACTTCACAATTAACTAGAAAAAAATAGACATTATTGTTACATGTGTCTGTTTCTGTGTTTGGCAGGCTTTCAAATGGTAGGAGCCTTTTGAAAGTAGCATGGAAATTAAGAAAGTTATGGAAGCTTGAAACTGGAAATCTATAATCCCCGTTTACTTTACATGATTGAAACATTGGTCAGAAATAGCATTTTTACTGTCAGAACATACTTGAATTTTGTCACACATAAATGCAAAAACAATAAAATAATAAGTTTATGAGTTAGAATGTTTGTATTTGCGTAGCATTTTTTTGTATGTATTTGTTTAGGAGTTTGTTATGTTTGCTTCCACTTTGTTGCTGTGATTGCAGCATTTCTTCCTTGTCTTTATGTTTTTCTCATGTATGTTTTTTTTGTTTGTGTCATTCCTGCGTTGGGAGCGTTTGAGCGATTGCAGCATTTCTTACATGCAGCGGTTTTGTTTTGTCGTTGTTCTGTATAGTTTTTAGTTTGCATGTGTGTTTGTCTTTTTTGAATAATTTTTTGATTGCTTGCAGAATTATTGTGTTTGCAGCGTTTGTTGACGTTTGCTTTTGTAAAAAAGAAAAAATATAGCTGCAGAAATGACAACTTGTATGTGTGAAAAACAAATTCTACTTGGTAGGAAAAACAATTTGTAGGTGTGAAAAATAATTTTTTAGTTCAAGTAAAATTTATCATGTACCTGTGGCGAACTACAAATTTGTACTTGTATGAATGGCAACACTTAGTCGAATAAGTCGCCACTCCGAGTGTTTTTGCTGTGGTTGTACGGACATGTGACTTTTACACCAATATATCTCACTAAAACAGATTTGTACTTGTTGCAGATTTGTATCCGTATGCTTAGACAATCAAGCGAGACGGATATGGGCGGGCTGAAGCTTAACCTAATTTTCAACCTCATCACACACAGGTTGATGTCAGGTAAAACAAAACGCTTCTGTGAAGGCATGCATGGAAGGAGCTCATTCTTCTTTCTTCTTGCTCTATATCACGGGTGTCAAACTCAAGGCCTGGGGGTGAGATGTGGCCCGCCACATCATTTTAAATGGCCCGCAAAAGCAAATCAAAGATGACATAAAATAAACAAATCAGTGACATACTGTAAGGCCAAACAAAAAAGATAGTGTGTTTCCAGTAACATGAAATTTCAGCATAGGGTCGGTAGGTTGGACAAAGTTTCTTTTTTTTTAATCTTTTTTTTTTCCATCAAAAATTTAAACAAAATAACCATAAAACATAAAACAAGGAGACATTGAACCCCCCGCTCGCCGCCAAAGGTGGCGAGAGAGTTGGGTACCCGGCGGCTGGGTGTTAGGTTCCGAGGTCGGCCGGGTCGCAATGGCACCGGGGGGGAGAGGTCCCCGACGCCGGCCGTGGCCCGGCCTGGACGAGAGTTGCGTAGACTAGGCGGACGGTGCGTCGACGAGCGTGCGGACAAGCGGGTCGGCAGGGTGGGCGGTCGGGGAACGCCGACGGGCGCCTGACCAGGGGCGATGCCCGCAACGCCCCCGCCGCCATCCCTCGGCTCCGCAGCCGGCACCGCCGCCACCTATTTAGTTTTCTCCCTGCTCCGGACTCGGGGGCCGGGGTGTGCCGCCGCCTCCACCATCCTCCTCCGCCCTCCTCCGCCCTCGGTTTTTACTCGGCCCGTGGTGTTCATCAAATAGTTCGCTTTATTTTTTCGATCCATCAATGGATGCTATTTTCTTAACATTATGGTGCGAGCACGCGACTGTAACACAGAAAACGCGGTTTAAACTGTTGTCGGAGATCGCGGCCGCCGCCATGTTTCAATGTTGTTGACAGACGACAGGGCAAACGACACACGCGCTCAACGTGAATATCGCGAGAGTTTGCACCGATGTAAACCCTCTACACAAAAATGTAGAGGGTTGTTTGAAAAAAAATGCCGACCGTAAAGTTTTTTTTCGACGTAGAAATTCTCGGTCGGTCGGGTTAGCGGAAACACACTACTTTTTTTTCTCCGCCTAAGCATTTTCTTGTTACCAAACCCCTCATTACAGTTACTTACACAACAATTGAAAAAAACATTATTCTTGACTTCTTTATACAGTTTTGGTCATCACGGTCCTCCAACGGAAACAGTAACTGTAATTTGGCCCGTGACAAAAATTAATTTGTATGCATATAGAGCATATGCATTCACATTGACAGGTACCCAAATAAACCAGTGAGATTGAGCTTTGGCCTGCCTTCTGCTCAAACGAGCCCTTTTGATTGGTCAAAATGGCCCTGTATTGCAAAAAGCCTCCGCTTCTTAGTGCATGAGTATAAAATTCAACCTGTACAGGTACGAATCTGTTATGCTCCTATTTTAGCGAGATAAATGGTATAAAGTCACGTGTCCGTACAGCAGCAACAAAAACACTTGTGACTCCAAGTGGTTTCCATTCATACAAGTACAAATCAATTTTTACCCAAAAGTCCAATTTAAAATTAATTTCCACACCTACAAATAGTTTTTCCAACCGAGTAGTTTTATTTTTCACACATCCATGTTATCATTTGGACACCTATTTTTTTTTTTTTTTAAACAAAATATTTTTGGTGGTACAGAAACACATTACTGTACTTAACACACCTAGAAGTTGCCTTTCCCATGAATAGAACTCTTACATTTCTTGATACAACTTTACTTTTGTACCAAATATAGCTCGTTATTTGGAGCGCGTTTGACCCTATCGTCCACCGTAGGGAAAAGTCTTTAAAGACCTGTCTAATAACGCTGGCTTCGTGTAAATCATATCACCTTTGAGATTGTATGCACACACAAAGTTATTTCAAACTGCGGGGGGTGTATTTCGGGATATAAACAATAACTTCATAGATTATTTTAAATGCTAACGTAAAAAAATGCTCACGCAAAATGTAATGACTGAATATTCGGAATGGATTTGGTCGTGTTAAAACGAGAAGAACTTTGCAATGACAGGCAATTGATAAAAAAAATGTCGATGAGAACGGGGCGTCAGTCTGAGACCATAACAGGCTAGCTAGCCAGAGGCTAACGTCTTTTGGCTATCTGCAGCATCCGGCCAAGGCAACCATTTGTTTCAATCACATGACTTACTAACCGTGTTAAAACGCTGTCCTTGGTTCGAGCTCTGCTGTCCACGATGGCAATGTCATTTATTAACGACAAAAAACACGTACTTGATAGGAGACCAATGAGGTGACACTCGAACCTTTATAGAGCAGAAAGACGAGGAAACAAAAACTTCCGGGAGTGACGTGTGGAAGGAAATATTTCAAAACAAAAGCGTAAATATTTAGAATTTTTTCATAAAAGGTGCAAGTAAACTTTTCTTGCCGATTTTTTTGCGCTGATTACGAATCTGTCCTCGCTTTTTCTCTAGTGCATCAAGTTGTCATCACAATATCAGTAATATAATAACAATAATAAAATATTAAGAACAGGTAGGTTATTTTCCTGAAACCTCATAGCTAAATAACAATGCATAAAAAAATTCAGCATTGCACAATCTTTTACAGGGGTCAAACTTAAATCAATCTATCTTTTGGCACACACGCACACACACACACACACACACGCACACGCACAAACACACGCTCGCGCACGCACGCACGCACGCACACATTATATTGTGCATATAGCTCCAGAGACAACAATGTGTAGAAAACTTCACCACACACCCGAGCGACGGTCCGGGACCGAACCGATGATGCCCGCTGTGTGTGTGTGTGTGTGTGTGTGTGTGTGTGGGTGTGTGTGTGTGTGTGTGTGTGTGGTGGGGGGGGGTGTGCGTGTGTGTCACGAGGTGGTACTGTATACTTGCCAGTGTTTGTGAGTAAGTTTGTATGTGTTTATATGTGGTATGTATGTATGTGTGTACATATACATTTATAAATGTATATACATCTTTGTTTACGACCAGAATATTCCTCCATACAGGAGTACAGAGAGATGGTGACTTAAATTTGTGGAGCTAGTGCCGCATTAGCCAAGGCGTCTGACTATGGATCAGCAGACGATAGGTTAAACTCCTGGCAAGTTCATGGGAATTTTTTTTTTTTTTCACGAGGTGGTACTGTATACCCGTTTTCCTCATGATAGCCCAGGGCAACGGAAAGTTTTTCCTGCCAGATCTTCTCTCATGCCGTAATTGCATAGTGGTTCGTACCCTGCATTGTGGCCGCAGCAATCCTAGTTCGATCCTGGTCACGGCATGTGCAAAGACCATTCTTGACTTCTTTGTTTGCAGTTGACTGAATAGGGATTGTTACTTTCTCTGGGAGTGGAATATTCCTCCACACGGGAGTATGGCGACATGTTGATTTAATTCATGGAATTAGTGGTGCAATGGATAATGTGTCTCAATACAGATAAGAAGAAGCTAGGTTGTACTCCGGGCAAGCTTGAGTGAGAGAGTGAGTGAGTGAGCGACTGGTTTATGTATTTATTTATGCATGCGCATGTGGTGTTAAACCCATTTTGGCTGCAGCATAGCCCAGAGTAAGAGAAAGTTATGCCTGCCAGATGTTCTCTCAGGTCGTGGTTGTGTAGTGGTTTGTACCCTGCGTTGTGGCCAATCGTGGTTTGAATCCTGGTCACGGCATGCGCGAAGACCGTACTTGACTTCTTGATTTGACTGAATAGAATGTATTTATTTGGGACTGTAATATTCCTCTACACAGGGGTACAGAAAGATGTTGACTTAAATTTGTGGAGCTAGTGGCGCAATGGCTAATGCATCTGACTAGGGATCAGAAGACAATAAGTATGACTCCTGGCCAGCTTGTGGGATTTTTTTTTTTTTTCCAGGTAGTGGTCAAACGGTTGCTGCCGCAGCATAGCCCAGAGCAATTGAACATTGTGTCTGCCAGATCTTCAGTCAGGCCGTGATCGTGTAGTGCTTAGTAGTGATGGGTCCAGCGACACCGATGCGTCGACACATGCGTGGGGCTCACAGCGCAATCCACGTGTCGGTGAGTGTGCTGCTTCATGACGATCACGTGATCAACACGTGAACTGCGTCAGCGCAGCCTGGACTGCGTCGAAACAGTCCAGGCTGCATTGACACAGTCCAGGCTGCGTCGACTCAGTCCAGGGGGCGTCGACGCAGCAAAAGCCCGCCACACAGTGTTTATAAGGAAGTGCGTCGAGCGACATGGTGCCGCCTGCCGAAACGAGCCAGACCTCACCCTCGCTCGAATAAAAATATATATTTGGGCAAAAAGGAAAACACACAGATTATCAGAAAAACGTGTCCGTTTGACTTCGAGCGTCGCGTCGGCTAGGCTAGCTTAGCTGTTGTCGTAGTTCAAAGATTCTTTAATATGTGACGTGGGTTGCGTCAGCGTTGTGAGTACGTGTTCGTGCTCACGCGCGCACAGCAGAGAGCAGCGGACTATCGACTGCTGAGGCGTGCTTCACTCGAGTGACGTTGCTCCAGTATGTGCATATTATGAGCAGCTTCCGGACAAATGCAAATTGTCCGCCTTGTAGAGCCATTTTGATCTCCTTTTGGAGAATAAGGTATTTATTGAAATCTCCTTGTCTCACCAAGTGCCTCTCGGATTTTTGACATGTCTTATTCCATTGTGTGTGTGTTCTCCACAGCAGGGGAAATAGCATGCAAGAAACGCAACAGACTGAAATTTTTTACGTGTGAACGCTCCACAAATTTTACACCGGTGTAAGATATATCGCAACAAAATACATCGGTGCAGCACCAATGCAAATGTGTGCCGTGTGAACACCCCTAGAGCCAAGAGGCATCCGCCAGGTGGAAACAGAGCTGAAGAGCGAACGTTGTGAATACTTTATAGTTTTTCTTTTCCAATATAAAACACAGTCAAAAGTTTCAACATTAACAACAAAATAAGAAACGTTCGCTTGAGGAGGATTTTGAGCCATGTCGATGCAAAAAAAAAAAAAGGAAAATGGTCTTCTTGCAGAAGGTTGCAATGACCTATTCTGACCAGCAGAGAACAGCGTACAGCGCTTGCCATCCATGGCCAAATGGGCTCTCGCATTTCAGAGCGAACAAGAGTGACATGCAATGTGGAAACAGCTGTGAACAGCTCACGGTGTGAATAGATTTCAAAGTTTTTCGTCCCAATAACCAAACAAAAAAACAACACAAAAAAAACTGTAAAAAGAGCCAAAATTTAAAAAAAAAAAAAAAAAAACGGCTCACTTGAGGCAGATTTTGAGCTGCGTCGATGCCAAAACAAAAACCAAAAAAAAAAAACCCAAAAAAGGAAAAAGTGTGATGGAGACGTGGCATTCATTTATTTTTAAAATTCAGGCGAGAAGGTCAATGTGTGATATTTCAAAGGCCTTTTATTTTGAAATGGGACATTAGATCAGCACGAAGGTAGTCTGTTTGGATACATGGGGTGCTCTAGTGCAGGGATCCCCAACCACCGGTCCGCGGACCGGTACCGGTCCGCCGGGCATTTGGTACCGGACCGCACAGAAAGAACTTGCCTTAATTCAGTTTTATTTCGGAATACGAAAGATGTTTTATTTTGAAAAACTACCGGATTCTCCGTTACATCCGTTTGTGTCACATTTGACACACGTCAAGCCACGCTTCTCCATCACGTGACCGATTACTTCAAAACAAAACGCAGAAGCTCGCAAAATGAGTAAAAAAACTGCTTGAGATCGCAAATCACGGCGGCCTTAAAAGTACGTTCGAGACAACTGGATTAAACTTATGGCTGAATACTCTGAGATCGCCAAAATAGCACTGTTACTATTTCCGACATCCTACCTGTGTGAGGCAGGGGGTTTCTGCAGCAACGGCGACGAAAACAAAATTACGAAGTAGACTGGACATAAACCACACACTTGAGGTGTCATTGTCTCCTTTTACCCCGAGATGGGACCGTCTGGTTGCAGAAAATCAAGCTCGGTGCCGTGGTGAGTCGTCATTTTCATGCACTTTGAATTTGCGTTGTATCGTATTTTGAAGGCATTAAACATTGACATCGCGATCGGAGTGATGCGGCCAGATTAGACGCTCCTTGTGTTTATTATTATATTTCGAAAACACCACAGTTTTCATGCAGCTTATACCATATTAATTTCTTGTATTATTTCCACCACACCTTAAATGCCGGTCCCTGAAAATATTGTCTGACATAAACCGGTCCGTGGGGCAAAAAAGGTTTGGGGCCCCTGCTCTAGTGTACCCTAGACTTGGTCTGGTTGAGGGATAACTAAACTTTATTTTTTCAAGATTTTTAAAAATCAGTTGAAAAGGTCAACATGTTAGATTTCAAAGGACTTTTATTTTGAAATGGGACATCAGATCCGAATGACAGTCCTATGGTTGGATACCTGGAGTGCTCTACTATGACCTAGACCTGGTTTGGTGGAAGAATAAATAAAATTCATTTTTTAAAGATGTTTTAAAAAATTGGTTGAAAAGGTCAACATGTGAGATTTCTGAGGCCTTTTATTTTCATAGTGAACATCCGATCTGAATGAGATTACTCTGGTTGGGTACGTGGGGTGCCCTAGTATGTCTGAGACGTGGTCTGGTTGAGGGATAACTAAAATAATTTTTAAAAAGATTTTTTTTCAGAATCAGGCGAAAAGGTCATCATGTGTTATTTCAGAGGCCTTTTAGATACCTAGGGTGCCCGAGTGTGTCTGACACCTTATCTGGTTGAGAGATAACTAAAATGTATTTTTTAAAGATTTTTTAAAAAACGGGCGAAAAGGTCACTATGTCAGATACCAGAGGCCTTTTATTTTGAAATGGGACATCAGATCTGATGGTTGGATACCTGGGGTGCCCTAGTGTTTCGAAAACCTGATGTGGTTGTGGGATAACTCAGATTCATTTTTCACGATTTTTTAAATATTAGGTGAAATTTTGAAATGAAATTAAATTAAAATCAGTCATAACGAAATGACATATCTCCACGTTACCATTAAATCACTATCGAATCAACATTCACACACACACGAAAACGTGTCTACAGTGTCCATAATTTTTTCAGTATTTTTAAAATGTGCTAAAATTATGAGCCCAATCCACTCCAGTATTCACTGTTCGCATGACTATGAAATCGTGACAAGGGCAAATCCTCTCTCTTATCCACTGTGCAGGAAATGGCATTGCTGCTCACAAGAGATTGTTGGTAACATGAGGACCACAGTTGGTACAATTCATATTTTTAAAAAAATGGCTAGACTGGTCAGAAAAACCACTGATTACAGCGACAGTACTGTACATTTAAGATGGCAACACAGAAACCAAGGCGGTGCTCGTTTTCTTACACTGCTGAGACATATGCACATCAAAATAAAAGCAACGCTACATACTTAACGTTTTAGTTTGACCACCTACCGATTGCCGAGACGGTGGACAGGCCAAATGTCTCCTGCCGCAGGCCCTAATTTGCCCAGATGTACTATCAATCTTTACCTTCATCTATGAGGTCGTGGGTTGGGGAAAAAAATTTTGCACCATCGGGAAAAAAGTGAGGACCAAACAACCTCTTGTGCTCATCTGAGAACCACACTAAAATTCTAATGGGCGCCCCTGATTATGATACAGTTTATAGTTTATAGGATATAGTTTTATAATGCATGTTTACAGTATTGGGCTCTCTGACTTTCTTCCATCCATCCATCCATCCAATTTCCGATCCGCTTATCCTCACACGGATCGCAGGGTGTGCTGGAGCCTATACCAGCTGTCTTCAGGCAGTAGGCGGGGGACACGTTGAAGCCGGTTTGCCACACATAGACGAACAAACACTCACACTCACACTCACACCGAGGGACAATTCAGGGTGTTCCATTAACCTGCCACGCATATTTTTGGAATAGGGAGGAAACCGGAGTACCCGGAGAAAAACCCAAGCAGGCACAGGGAGAACACGCAAACTCCACACAGGAAGGCTGTAGCCGGAATCAAAACCTGCACCCCTGCACTGTGAGGCCGACGCGCTCACCTGTAGACCACCAGGCCGCCCTGACTTTCTTCCGTCCATTCCATTTAACTAAGCCTGCCAAGTCCCTGTGCAGATCCTATATAGTAGGTGGCGGTATTCACTAAAGCGTTGCAATCCGCCAGTAAAGTATGAAGAAGAAGAAGCACAAGAAGACGACGACGACGAAGAAGAAGCAGCAGACGAAGGAAGAGAAGAAGAAGACGAGGAAGCAGCTGTAGCAAATCATCATGACGAGGATAATAATTGATGAAGGTGAAGTGTTCTCTCCTCAGTCATATCTGCTTTAAGGTAACGATGTTTTAGTGTGATAGTTTTCAAGTCTTGCAAAAATGTCTTGACAACCAATGTGCTGGTATTTCAGAAACATGTGGGGGGGTGTTGGGTTATGCCCAACAACAACGAGAATGTCCAAGCCTGTCCTTGCAAATTAATTTGCTGCATGCATCGGGTTCCATGTTTGCTGATGATAACGTAAACCGGCAAACGATATGGCAACATTGATCGTGTATTTTCAGTGCTCTCCGATGTTCGGCTCTTGTAATGTCAAGCAGTCGTCCCGATTCCGAAATGAGTTTATACGAGTGGAGGTTTTGAATGTAGTTTTGATTTAAAACGCACCACCCGGCACTGCGGTCAAGCCAACCTCCACTCGCAAAATTGAAGTCAAGTGAGCCGCCACTGTGATTGTCAGTGCTCTGCATTACGGTAATCTGCCGCCAGCGAGTGGCGTTAGACACCTTCAAAATAAAAGCGCATCCACTAATGCATAAACGTCATTTGTTTGGGTTAAAAGAAATAAATAAAAATATAAAATAAGTACTTTATTGTTTTATTGTTTATTGAACATACAATACAATAACAGATTGACAAAAGTTAATGCAAGTAAAAATTTTAAAAAGAAAAGAAAAATAAAGACAGATTTTCTCACAGTTTTATGTTCAAAGGAGTAGGAAAAAGTAAATAACTTATCTAGTCCTACCCCCTGTTATGTAACAGTATATGAATTGATCTTTTTTCAATACAAAGAAGAAAAAAATCTACATATCATCAAATACTTATACCCTGATGTGTACTGTACTTAACTATTTATACACCTTTCGGTGTGTATTTATATATATACTTGAATATATTTAATAAATTGATCAATGTTATTCTGTTGAATTACGATATTTTAGAAGTATATCAAATTTATCTTCTTAACTCTGATTTGTGTATTTTTTTTGACTAATCTTTTGAATTTGTTTTTGAACTCAACCAGCGATTTACTCATCTTCAGTTCCGTTTCGAAATTATTCCACAGATTGACATCTATTACTGATGCACACCTTTGCTTGATGTTTCTTCTTGTTTTGGATTTTTTGTATTGGTTGGTACCCCTTAAATTATAACAACTATCTCTAATTTGAAAAAGCTTCTGGCTTTCTTGGCTGTCGGGCAATGATTCACAGAGGAAGAACAAGAACTCTCAGAACAGCACCAATAAGC